GCCAATAACTACCTGAATTCTGTCATTACATTTCCAATTATCACAGCGGTAAGTACAACATATTCTGACAGCTGGGAGGATTCAATTAATAAGTAAAACAATGAACATTCTGAAACCACTTGATTGATATACTGCAGATTGATATCGAAGGTTTTCACATTGTTCTGCATTACATGAATATTTTCAAAAGAAGTTGGATCTAAAATACTGACAACATTTTAAGGGTGTGTCAGAGTCAGAGGGACTTAATTTATCCCCAAGGGCAATTAAGATAGATGATACCTCGTCGACCTTGTTTTGTATACAATACAAAAACATCACATGGGGGAGAAAGGTCAGGCTAGGTTTCACTGACCGGTCGTTAGCACGAGCAGCGACCCAAACTGAAACTATGGAAAATGCACAACATGAGGAAAGACGAGGAGAAAAAAAAACTCCCCCCAGGGAGATCAGTTTGAGAACAGGGGAAAAAAACCACCTCAGCACATGGATCATCACATCTCACAACATAGAAGACATAAGCTATTGAGCTACAATTTGCAGCTTTCTTACCAAATTGCATTTCCACAGAAGCAATGTAGCTGGGGTAAAGCATGTTGCAACAAGATCAATTAAGTGTATCCTTCATACATGGAAAAAGCCATTAGTGCTTAAATATCATAATCTAGATTGTCTATTGCATTGAACTTTTAGTGAATGTTCGATGTGTATGCACAGCTAGCAAGTGCTAAACGGATCAGACACTGTTGGAACAAATGGCTAACGCATTTATATCCTGCTCTTTTTAGCTGGTACTTTAGTTTCATCAAGTCAATGGTCTAAGCTCAAACAGCTTGTTTGGTTTCCTTTCTTCAGGGCTATGGTCTGGTTGCTGCTCTGTGGGGGTGCCTGGTGTTTAAAGAGATTAAGGTAACGATCAAAATATTAGCTAGTCTTGTTTCTTGACTCTACAGTAGCTCAAAGGCTTGCATGTAAGTGTGCTGTTTACAAAGGGGAGATTCTAAACAACATCAAGTTAAACTGCAGTTGATCAGGAAGGCATTTACCATCCCAAAAGGAAGAATTTTTAATTAAATGTTTCTGAGAAAAATCATCCTCAGATGATTAACTTCTCCCACTTTCTTTCCACAGGGCTTGGCGAACTGCCTGATCTTCTCATTGGCCTCATGTGTTGTGCTGACCGGATCTGTGCTGACTGCCGTATCAAATCTTTAATAATGCAGAACAGTCAAACATCTAATTTTCTCCATTTTTGTTTTCTGTATCAGTGAGGAGAAAAGGCAGTGTTTGCTTTTTATAAATGCATTAAATCATGTTTGCAAAAATTGAAATATAATTATAAACCTTTTTAGTTGCATAGCAGAAACCTTATGCTCTGCAGTTAACTGTTAGGAAAATATTTAAAGTGGATTTGCGTCTGGACTTTGAAAATCTATTTGGTTTGTTACTAACAAACAAATAACACAAATGTCACATTTAATGCATCACACAGCAGCTGCCGTTTTCACTAATCGGGACTGGCTATTCCAGCATTGCAGAGGTTGTGTATATATGCCACTGAGGTCTACTTTACAGATGTAAGAAAAAGATGGTTAATGCTAGACTGAATATTGCAAAATTGCTATTAAAACACTTGAAATTCCACCAATGGCATCTCTCACATTTCCTGGGGTTTGTATGCAGAAAAAGATGGTCAACATGGTGTGCTTGATTTCTGGGATGGAATAGCTCGGGGTTGGTTGGGGGTCAGAACATGCATACTTCACAGAAGTTCTTTTATGGCTTTATTGGACAGGCACAGTGAAGACTGACAGGAAAGCAGAGGCCAAGGAAGAGGGAAGAAGACCTGCAGCAAAAGGCCGCAGATCAGACTCAAATCCGGGCTAGCTGCTTTTAGCCATATGGCTGCCTCCTTTTTCCACTGAGCTAAACCAGCGCCCAGAAAATGTCTTTCTGAATGTGCTAGATTAAACTAAACAATAAACATGATTTGTAGAGATTGACACTGGCTTTAACATGCCACACTAATGCTGACCTTTTATTTTAATGATTAAAATATTACTAGAATACTTATAACACCAGATTTTAGAACTCTGTCTAGACAAACATCTGGTGACACCAGCGATCAAAATCGCAGTCCTTGAAAGCAGAGGCGGAGGCAGACATTTGATACACCCGGGGCTTAGCCCTAAAGGGTAGTATGCACATGGGATTGCTTTTAATTAAGCAGCAAGGCAGAACGAAATCAGGGCTGTATCAAGACACGAGGACTATACCCCAATTCAACCAGACCCAGAACTGATCCGGAATTAAAACAGGACTACAACAGTTCAAAATCAGGACTACTTAGGATTTAACCAAGACAGAATCAGAACTAGATGATAGTAGCACTAACTACACTTGTTTTTTAATTCTACCAAAGTCCACTATTTAGATTGAGAAAAGTTTATATAATTATTTAGCCTTGTTGTGCAAACAAGCCTGCTTAACTTAATAAATATAGAATTTGAAAAATAACAAACCTAAAAAGAAATCCCAGGTACGAGATACATGAGTACCTATGATACGGTGATACTTTTGGTAAACAACCATTTGACTAACATGTGTTTCTCACCTACTCTTGTTCCTCTCTGTTCGGTCCTCATTCTCCATCTCTCTGTTCCTCTCTCTCCCTCCCTCTTTGTTCCTCTCTCTCCCTCTCTGTTCCTCTCTCTCCCTCTTTCTCTCTCCCTCTCTGTTCCTCTCTCCCTCTTTCTCTCTCCCTCTCTGTTCCTCTCTCTCCCCCTCTGTTCCTCTCTCTCCCTCCCTCT